TCAACCAACAACAGGTGTCTTCTCATATATATATATGGTCTATATAGAACCCCCTGCCAAGGTTTGCTGGGTTTCATGCTGTTCGCCTGGCCATCATCCGGGTTCCACCGCCAGGTCCCGTGCCACCTGGCGAAAAAGCGCCCATCGACGAATCGACGATAGTGGAAAAAGGAACTCTTTTGGCGTGTGCCCAGAAACGTCAAAACCCATATTTATGATAGCTACCCCTACAAGTCCAGTCTGATCCAATAAAACCTGGTCTTATTTGACCTCCTTAAGTTGTGTTTTTGCATAACCAACTCTAGTGAAATGAGGTCATTGACCTGTAGGGTACCTTAACTAGAACTTAATCCTTTAACTAGGGAAAGGCGTGGAAATGAGAAGTCCTTGATCACAGATATATAAATGGACATGAACACACTATGACCTTAATCAACAAAAAATATGTTCTATCATGTCCACGGTCAAACAACAATCCCACACAACCTCCAAAACATAATATATGGTGAGCCAAACATGATTAAAATAGAGCTAATGCACGCAACAGTTATGTTCTTACATGTTGTTCAAAACAATGTGACAACAAGTTTTAACCACATGCTGCTAGATATTTTTTATTGCTTGGCAGTTGCCCTGAGACGTACTGATATGATATTCAATGATATGCGTGTGTGTTTCAAAGTTTACATACCAACAAGGGTGGGCATTGCCTGACCAACGTATTGGAAACCGTGAAGAGGTGTCAGCACTTAGCTTTCCACGTGAAGTTGGAGGGGGGGTTGGACTGTACAATTTTTGGCAACCAACAAAAATCATATAGCATTTGTGGAGGCGCTGCGTCCGTTGGCAAGATTGTTGGATCGAGTACGTTGCAACTTGGCCTGCGCAAATGCGACCCTTGTCACCGCTTGGGTAAATAAGAAACCATCTGTGGTTTCGTTTTTATATTTGCAATGCCCTGGAGTTCTGTTGATGTAGTAGTATGTTCCATCTGACTAATTAACTTGTTGCAACAAAAAGCTTGGACCACAGTACACCCCAACCCTCCAAGGACCCAGGCTGCCTCACTACTGCAGCTGCTTAGCGTTGGGGAGCTCGAGTGCAACGTGTGTGGGACAGGTCACAGGAGTCACGGTCCAGATTGCAGATCATTGCATGGTAGTTGCTTGAAGTTAGAGAGGATTTTGTTGTCAGACAAACGGCTTTCCTTGGAGGCAGCAATCACCAAGCAAAGCTTAATTCCAGGAGGTACTTCAGGGTGCCATCAGAACAACAGCTGCAAACGCCTTGAAAGAGGCCCTTCACAACAAACGCCTACCTATACTTACAGGATGTGCACTACTACTACTACTACTACTACCACGACTACGACTACGACTACGACGACTACTACTACTACTACCACCACCATCCTGAGCATCGGATATTAATTTATAAATCAATACTCTACAGAATCTGTTGATATTGAATTTGAAATCAACGTGTTTAGATTGATTTGGAGTCAGCCAGACTAAAACAAAGTCATAATAAGACCCCAAATCAATACAATTCTATGGATTGAAAGCTGCACAAATCAAACCTGAAGAAGTACAGCAAAGTTGCTTTTCCACTGAAAGGCTTGACTGCTTCTGCCATTTATATTTTCTTGTTGCCATCTGCCATCCATATTACAGAATTGATTGTTCTGATTGTTCTGTATGTTCTTGTTGCCATCCTTCATATAGGTCTCCCAGTCCACTTGTCTGGACAACTCATCCTCTACGCTGGCCATCCCCCTTCCGTTTGAACGGCTCCTTCCTGGTGTTGAAGGTGGTCCCACTTGCCAAGGGCTTGCCTTTGTTGCCTCGCTGTCTTCACTGCTTCGGCAGATTCTGTAGCAACATTCTGTCCGCATGCGCTGGCACGCATCCGCCTGTTCTGTAGCGCGATGGCATCAAAGGGGGGCCAACGACGGGTTTCGCCCCGTGAACTCATTGCAGGAAAGACGGAGATCTCGCCGCCTATCCTTAAGGAGATCCCGTCTTCTCGTGCGGTCGCCGTCTTTTTTTGGTTGCTTGGGTTTCTGAAGGGGTGGCGCATCAGAAGGGGGCCGGGCCGCGCATTGGGGTAAGGGGTGTGCACGGAATGACGGACACCAAACACTGCAACCTTGGGCGCTTTCCCGTCCTCGTCCACTACAACGGTGCCAACTCTTGCAACCCTGACCGGGCATGGTGCATCATCATAGACCCCAGGTTCAATGCAAGTGTATCTCCGGTTGCTGGGGTCAATTCACCCAAGAATCGAGCATTGCTATCAATATGATTTAGCCGCTAGCAGTGATCATTGACTTTGGCTGCTTGGCTGCTTTGCTTGCAGCCTCACCCACATCCCGAAGAAATGTGACCCTCCGACTCACCAAGATGGAAGTGGAAAATGGACCTCGATCACTGTTTCCTTTACGAACCAGGCATTTTCTTTGACAACCACGGGCCCGTTTTTGTCCGTCCACTCCCAAAAAAAGGTGCCCCGAAGGATTTCGGAAGGCCCCCCGGTGCCGGAATCCGAGGCGGCGGCTCTTCTCCCAAGAAAAAGCCGAAGAAGTGTGGGAGCAAGAACCTGCAGCGAACCGCGCAGCGAACCGCGCAGAGCTGCGGATACAGCAGCTCCAACAGCGCGGCCGGAACTGGGCCGAAGCGTGCAGGTCATCTGTCATGCAACCACGTGCCGCGGTACGTGGCCCCAGCGAATGCAATAAAGAGAAACAAAAGGTCGCGTTTCTGTTCAGAACCTGTACACAAAAAACAAATGAAAGGATCGATGTCCTGTGTTTTTGTGTTGTTTTTTTTCATGTTCTGGCTTGTTAGGGGAGCTGGTTTTGGAGGAGGTCCAAACCTCTCGTAGCTCTGACCCAAACTTTGTAGGTTTAGAAGGTAGGTCCCACCATGGCAACTGAAGCCCCTCATGGCACCTCCATCATCGAAGTCATCCACCTAATTACTCTCGAAGTCGTGGTGGCAATTCATCAATCCATCCGTGTACCAGAAAAAATTGTCTTTCTTTGAGATGCCCCTGAGCTCGCTCTGCACCGACATGTTCGAACTCTGAGTCACTGAGGTTGGAGTACTCTGAGGTTGGAGCAACACCCGTTACACCAAGAGATGGAGTTCAACAAAAAAACACGATAAAGAAACATTTTTTTGGTGGGTTTTGAGCTTGGCTATAGTGAATGGCATCTTCCATGCACAAGGACTTGAGAGCAGAACATGTCTGGCGGGCCTGAGATCGAGTCCGATAGTGGAAACCAATTGGATGTCTATTTTACTGCGACAAAAAAAATAACGAAAAACGAGGATGAAGATGAGGATGACAACAACCCTTAAGGAACAAGATTAGAAAAGTGACGAGATCAGCAAAGGTGACAAGAGCAGCAAAAACAACAGAAAAAAAAAAAACAAAAACACAGCAAAAACAAGAAGAAACATTATATAGGAGAAACAACAGCTTCAGTCCACCCCAAAAACACATTTTTTAGCGCTACTCCCGTGAATGAACTAGCATGCCTCCCACATGGAACAACAAATTCATCATACCTTACCCACATAAACAACTCGCCCAACTGTGAGCACTGGGTTACCCCAACGCCGAAAGCCCAAAGCTGAACGCGACCCCGCTGTGTATGGCCAAGAGGAGGTTGAGGCCTCAGAATTGGAGTTGTCATAGAAAAACATGTGCGTGTGTGTTAGACTAGGGAGACACACCAATGGTTTTTCCTTGGTCACTCTGTTGCCAGGAAACTTTGGGATGTGCCACTATTTGACAGACACACCTGCATGAAAACAATTTCAACGAACAAAGTACGAGTAGGGTGATTTGCCTCTATCTGAGGCTGGATAAAGAGGGCAAGCACAGTCATGATGGGCTGTTACTGGGAATGTGACACACCCTACTGTATGCAATTTTTTTGGGGGGGTATTGATTGTTTTTGTTTTCAACAATGATTAGCTTCATTGGTTTGTTCGTGAGGACAAACAAAGACACGACGCACCCGGTGCGTAGTAGCGCGCGCCTGTTTTTGTCTGAGCGGCGAAAACTGGAGCGTCGACCGCTGCGAGTTGACCAGCGAAGAAGGTGTTGGACCATTGATCGAAAGGGGCAAGCCCTTGTGACGGCATAGAGTGAGGCGGCCCCATAGATAGTCATCCTCAAGTAGATAGTGGCACGGCCGTCCAATACATTTTCTACATGGGGATCTACTTGTCTATCCATTTGGGGGTCTATTGTACATGGTACCTTTAAAAAAAAGAAAAGGACATTATACGGGTAGGTGTTTTCCAGTGTTCTCGAAACCGCTTGTTTTAGTACTTTGCATGTTGAAGGTGTTCAGACGTTGAGGACGAGACCTCGTAGTTGGTAGGTGCTCGTTGTCTGCTCGTGAGTAGTATTGCTAGTTCACCGGGTCGTTGGGGGGGGTTCGGCCCAAGAAAAGAATTGGTTGTTTCTTGGTGGTATCTACGGGGCGAAATGAGCCACTCTAAAAACCTGCAGTCACTCCCTATGTCGTATCACTTTCCTTGCGCGAGGCCTTACGCGCTGCTTACGCGGCCCTCACTTTTGCTTACGCAGAGCAAACTTCCGAAATGCTTACGCGAAATGCTTACGCAGTCTTACGCAACCCAGGGTTTTGCTTACGCGGAATTCGATATGACAATGTCCTTACTTAAGATGTAAAGGCAGGTTTTTAGAGCGGCTCAAATGGCATTATCACCACCATGGCCGCACTTCCATGACCACAGCGCACGGAGAGAGCGGTCGGAGAGAGCAGTCCGTCGGAGGATCTTCCACTGAGAGATACTGAGAGTGAAACAGTATCTTTACAATATTTTACAGCAAAGTGACATATGTTCAAAGGACTTTCTACTTTTACAGATCTTATATGTTCCCTGGTCTCAGCTCTTCTCAATGCTCTTAGCTCTTCTTTTGCCGCCAAACCGCAGACCGCACACCCGAGAACCGCGTGGGGGGCCGCGCCCGACCGCACAGCGGGTTGGCGTCCACCGGATCAGGTGAAGAGCTCGTTGATGTCCACCGCCCGACCAGCACCTGCGGGGCGAGAGCTTTCACCGGGGGCGGAGAGGTCCAATGAAGGTGGCGAGAGGTCCGAAGTCACCATTCATCACCCCAGAGTGAGTGGTTTCGGAGGTCTAGATCCGGTTTCCCCCAAGATGTCCTAAAGACAGATGGGGGTTTCCATATAAAGCATCTAGTCTTGGGGTAACTTGTGCCATCTGCTCTGAAACCCACCGTACAAGACTCGTGTGGCTCTGCACTATCTATACTTGCACGAGAAGTCAACCCAAATCCAAAAATGAACATTCCAAATCTTCGGATGACAGCTTCCATCAGCTTCCATGAGGATCCATAAGGGATCATAAGGGTATCTTGGGGGTTTGGATCAATGATTAGTCTGCACAGCTTCCCCATCCCTGGGATCGCTCGGCTTGAGCTTCCCCCCCCGCCTAGCATGCCACTGGCGCCGGCGTTCCGCAAACGCCGCACCACGTCGGGGAAGCCATTCCTAGCCCGACGCAGCTGTGGCGGAGCTTGAGGAGCACGGATGGTATCCGATGTGAGGCGCCAGCGGGTTTTCCGAGTCGAGTAGACGCACCTCACCTGGTGTTTTTCCAGATTGAACCTCTAGTCTTCCCAGATTGGTGTCCCCGAAAGTGCAAGAAGAAATGGAACACTGGAAATCACTGGAATAACTTCATAGAAGAATCAGAACTTCTGGGGGGGATAAGGTGTTTGTGCTTCAGGCAGGTCATCCACTTGTTCGCCCGCATCAAGGTGCATCAAAACAAAGCTCGATCGACAGTTGGTGTCTTTCCTGGGCACAGTGCCAGGACAATTTGGACGTTCCTCTCACCTGGGCCTGAATTCATCAAAATCAACATGAGTGACATTCCAAGATATTCCAAGTATACCGTCTAGCTCTGGCGAAGAAAAACTGAAAAAAAAAACAAAAAAACATCTTCAGGCCAGGCCATGAAAAACCCAGCTGGACCAGTCGAACAGTGCCTTTAAAAACACAAAATACACATTTAAAAAAACGCCTGGCATCGCCCGGTAAGACTGCACTAGCTCGCGTCTGCAGTCTAGCGCGGGCGATGCCCGTCTGCAGCGTCTGCCGCCCAGCGTCTGCTTGGCAATCTTGATGGCGGTGACGCCATTCGCATCCACCTGGGACAGGTCTGAGATCGGTCTGACAGGTGTGCAAAGGGTGAAAGAACAACCCACGCCCAGTTTCATCTATATTAGATAGTTAAACTAGTTACATGGTATATATATAGCTACATATCTTTATATAGGTATATATCTTTATAATTCTTTATATATAGCTACATATCTTCATGTTATTAGGTATATAAATATATATAGGAAGCTCCCGATTCTTTTTTGGCACACCACACCGTGTCCCGACCCGCACATCACATTCAGCCCGGGGCACCGTATCGGGATTGGCACCCGCCTGCGACGGTTCGCGCTGCCCGTGCCGCGCCGGTCCCCCGGTGTCAGCAAGAGAGGTTGAGAGACCTGGACTGGGATGGACTATAGGACCCTGTAGTGATACATATGGGGACTATAAGGCTGTTCAACCTTCCTGGGTAGGTCCTAGGTTGCCACGTGATGAGTTGTAGCTATACTACTGCTTGTTGCCATGCGCAAACGTTCAGCAAGTGCAATTCATAAACAGTCAAAGATCAGCCAAGAGCAGAAGAGATCAGTGGATTTGCTTAACAGTGCCATCAAATATTCATTGCCTACAAAATATACTGCACTGTATCTATAAAATATAAATATACATCCACCCAAGGATGATCCACCCACTCATTGTCATGCACTCAGCCTCGATACTGTACCCTCAACAAAATGACAACTTCTGTGAGGACCAAATGGGCCAATCATGAACCTCCATATTCACCGGATTCACCCCCCCACCCTCCGCCCCAAAACCACGCCAAGGCGTCTCCAAGGACGCGATTCAGTTTGTGGCACAGACCAAACGATTCATGCCAGCTTCAACGGATCCCAAAGGTGCGGTTCCGCCAGCTTCGAGGGTCCTCTCTTGTTTCCAACCTCCCCAGGTCAGCTCAACCCCCCCCCCCAGGTGGTCAGCGCTCGTCACTTCCTCTCCGTCTCCGTGTCCCCTTCGATCCCGCCTTCAGCAGCATCTCCACGATGGGCCCATGCCCCGACATGGCAGCGAACATCAGTGCTGTACACCCATCCTGCACCGGCGGGCACCGGGGCACCGGGGGACTTTGGGGAAGCAAACACGCGGGCACGCCGCGACGTGTCGGTCGAGTTTGTGGCACTTGGAAGTGGCACGCCGGCGTTGGCCGGAAGAGATGGAGATGCTTGGTACTGCACATTGGGCTCAAGCCCAAGAAAGGCTAAACAACAATAACAAGCAAAAGTTGGACTGCTCACATGGCGAGGTCGTGAGAGATCACCGGTCAAACAAATAGAATCAAAAGTGAAGTGTGATGACATTGGTTGACCCAGCCAATGAGTTCCGACAAACATCCGCCAGCGATGGACTCTACGTCACACGTGCGTCCTCCCGGGCGAGGTCCACCGTCGCCGTGTTGTTCGCGGTGTTGTTGAGCAGCTGCATGATGACACCTGCCTGTGGCGCACGTGTGGTGGGACCACACGACTGTGGTGGGACTTACCAATTTAGTCTTTTCAAGCACCCCAATGTAGGTATGTGCCATGGAGTGTCGAAATCATGATCCCCAATTTCGGCCCAGGTAATTTCGAGCATGACGTGAAGCTTTCCAACCCCCATCCCCCGACACGTTTAGTATGCATCAATGGGTTGGATGAAAAGTATCCCCATCTCATCCCATATCCAAACTGGCCCAGGTCAACTATATGGCAAGTTTCATGATTGACTAATTGTCTCATTCACGGCCTTCCCATGGCCCCAAAAAACCTTCTGAGACTCCTCCGTCCTGACGGCCTCACTACGGCCTTACGGACTTTGTGGGAACAGTCGTGACCAATGATAGACCAACAGTCCGAAAGCCATGTCCGAATAGCCTGATGGGTCTCCATCTCCATGTCCAGGACACCCCAAACACGGTCCACACAAACAGCGATCTGAAAAATCATGGGAAAAAAAGAACGCTGAATAACAATAAATAGCCACTCCGACCGAGTGACATGGAGGTGGATTGCAGCTGGTGGATAAACGATGATAAACGATGTTCTTTTCACTGAACATAGGAGGGGACACCCGGTTCTATGTTGGTGACGTGGCCTCTTTTGGGATATGCCATGTGTTTTTGAAGGATTGGCTCCCACTCGCCTCTTTGGGTCTCGCCCTCCGCGGTCCCTCCTCCCCTCCCCGGATGCCACACCTTGCCGCCCTGCGCGGCGATCATCAGCGGCGTGGCGCCGTCCTGGGGCGCGCCGTCGACCCGGAGCTGCGGGCAGTCAGCGAACGGGCAGTCCGCGGGGGTTCTACGTATGGTTGAGTAGTCAATGGTCGTATGGTTGAGGTGTTTGTAGGGTCTAAGAGTATACCATGTCGGGTGGTAGAGTAGTTATTGATGGTGGTGACTTTATATCCCAACCACGCCATGGGACTGGCAAATGTACCTACATGGACCCCTGAAATCAACACGTTTCAACCATCCCAAGGTAGGTTAGAAAATACCATACATGGAGTCTTTGGGTATGCACTATGCAGGTCTCAAACCTAGAACATGAGTGCTGAAGAGGAGACTCACCACAAAGATGGCCAATGGTCTCGGAAGACCTGAAGAAATGAGGCAGGATTGTAGTCTTAGCGGGTGATTCATGGGGCCTCATGTTGTATTAATCATGATCCTATCTGTAGTATACTACAGATATCTCTCTATATAAAGAAGAAGGCTTCAAAAACATGTCCCTCTCCAATGTCTTGACCCCACCGGCCCTCACTCTCTTCTTGAGCTCCTCCTTCCCCACATCCAAACCAACCACCCATCAGTGGAGAAGTCATCCAGGCACAACCCGGTCGCATGTGACATCCACGTCGCACGAGGCGCACGTTCACTTCGCACAACCCAAGATCCAAAGAACTCTCTAAACGGTTCACCATGTACTCATCCCTCCACCGTCACTGACATGTAGTTCACCATATTCATCAAGTTCATCGAAGAACTCATCGAAACATCACACACTTCACGCCTTCCGTGCCGCGTCCGCGCTGGCGTTGAGCGCCAACAGCAGCGAGGCAGACTCCGTGGCGCCAAACCTGCAGGTCGTCCGCGGACGCGTACGAGGACGGACAGAGAGATCTCAGTAGTCTTGTAGATGCAGATGGTGCCACCCCCCCACAAAGGGGAGCACCCACACCAACATAGGTCCAACCGCCGCTTTAATGTGTATGATCTGAACATATCTGAAGCATGTAGGGAGATAGCTACCCACTTACAAGCCATCCGGCCAATTGGGTCCAGCAAAAAACAACCTTGTCTATTTGCCACTGCTAAATCACCTCATGGACTCCCGAACCATCAAACACTCGCGATGGACTCCACCTGTGACATCTCAAGTGAAACGAAGTAACATCCAATAGCCAATGCATGCCGATGCCATCCTGAAGATTCCCAAAAACGATCAAAAATGTCTACAAGCTTTTGTAGTGATCTTCTGACAACGACTTAACTCACACCATCTCTGCCAGCAATTCTTTGTCTCTAGGCGCAATCTCAAAGGACGCCGTTTAAATCAACAGCCCAGGACGCATTCTGCGCATGGCCAAACGAGAGAGACCATTCCGATGCCGGGCATGCCGTGGGAACGAGTGACTCAACCAGTTGGAAAGTCGGGAAGTGCCATTGTTTTTGGTGGTCACTTAAGGTACCCACTTCAAACCCTTAAAGCGGTCTCCACAGTGCGTCGAACATCTTTGATTCGTTCCATTCAATCGATTTCTCCAATGGGAGGGACCACCCAAGCAGGTGGCCACTGTTGGTGTCAAACAAAAAGCAAGTGACCTGCTGAAAAAGGGTGCTTGGGGCCTACCCCCCAAAAAAAGGAGTGCAATGGATGTTTGTAGCACATATTGTTTCTAGACATACAATAGAACAGGACCATATACTTAATAATTAATAACATATATATATATATATGTACTATATAATAATAGTTAATAATAGTAGCCGGAATACACTACTCATTTCTGCATATACATTAGATAAGAATATGACTATACTATATAAATGGGGCTTTGTACAATGAGGCCACTTTGACCGCCGACCGCCTCGCTGACGACGTGGCGTAGACACGCCGTACGCTACGCGCACGTGTCATCTCTTCACCCGCGGCTGACGCGCATCAGGCTCCACCGTGTCAGTGCTGCAGCAATGGACACCCTCAGGTCAGGTGAGTTGGTGGTTGGTGGTCAGGTGAGTTCTCTTCTGAGTCGGGGAAGGTTCGAAAAGAAAACCCTTCTCCCAGAAAATGGCTTTGAAGGGAAGATCCCCATGGTTTTCACATCCCGTGATATCAAGGTTTCCTGTGTTAGATTTAGCTGTTCCCTTACCATCAATGGAAGGGTCACCGTTCCTAGAAAAACCTTTGTTAAACATTGGTATCAACGTCCGCTCGACACTTCGAGGATCCGAACATACAAGAAACATGACAAAAAAAAATGAAGCGCAGGGAAAGTGGGTAGCAAAGGATGATCAAGGCAGATCCCCAGGTCCCATGTTTGAGTCGATGTTCCTTTTGTCGCCCCGCGGCGTCTCCCACCAGTCCTCCCACCAGTCCGCCCCATCCGTCTCATGTCGCGCAGCCTTCAAGGCCCAATTCGAACCTGAAGCACGGTTTCACACCGAACCCGGTGAGAACCGCATGTGGAGGCCATCCTCGCAGTGAAGGTGAGAACACCATCCTGATGACATGACCACCCCAACAAATCAACAAATCAATCATTGGGTCGAGGCTCTGGACATATCCCATGTTGAGAGTTTCACCTGCTGATTGTCAGGACCCCATTTGTGCCCAAATGTTGGATTCCTTCGGCCAGGTCGATCCAGAATCTGCAAACCGGGCGGGGCGGGCAAGAGAAGTCCAACAATTTGACTCACATATATATTGAACTTGTATAACTTATATGATATAGTTAGACCGACTCATATACCGACTCATATTCCTCATGTTTAAAGGTAATGGGTAGTTGGGAGCCATCGGACACGAGTCTAGTCGTGTGCTCACCGTGCTCACCTCGAAGAGAATGAGTTTACTGTGTAGTATACATAGGAGTTGATCTAAATTCCTTTATCCGGGATCCGTCATTTTCGCCCAAAAAAACTTAGTTTAGCCAAGCTTTCGCCTTCCTGCGTTTTATCTTAAGCGAAGAGGTAGCGTTTTGGTGCTACTGATTCGCGCATGTCGACAGGTGCACTCGTGCGCTCAGGCCCTAGGATCCGGCTGAGGAAAAGACTCTGGTGCTGCAGACCGTGAGTGTCATTGCTTCCAACATCTCTCATTATGTTGTATTATGTGTGCCATGTATGTTGTGTTTTGTTCACGTCAATGGTTTCTTCTTTACTGGCAAGCACAACATAGAAACTTCACTGTTTGTCAGCATGTGTCTTCTACTTAAGACTCACCGCAGTAGCCGGTCACTCAAACTTACTCATGATGGGCTGGGGTCAGATGTGGCAGGGTGAACTTTCGACAATCTTGAGCTGAACTTTCGCCAAACTTTCGCCTTTTGCGGGGTAGAGTTTTGTAGTAGTAGTAGTAGTAGTAGTAGTAGTAGTAGTAGTAGTAGTAGTAGTAGTAGTAGTAGTAGTAGTAGTAGTAGTAGT